ACCAGAAGAGGGCATCCTATCCCCTGAACCTGGGACTACAGCCAGTGTGAGGGGGGGGGGGCTCTTCTGTCCTCAACAACAGCAGTATGTGCTGTTAACCACCAAACCATCTCTATAGCCCAAACAAATTTTTAATCCCTCACCTCCCCAAAAGCTTGCAAGTTGTTTTTTCTTTTCTATAGCAACAGCAGATAGTTAAGAAGTACCTTAAATAGCCAACAAGCTCCTTCCCAAACCATGGAAGGAACACTGACTCTGGGCATTTGCAAAATTTGTGGTCGGTGAGAAGCTGAAGGGCTGTTTACTTTTACCCTTGGCAACACTTAAATGTTCAAGTAATCTTAAATCTCATTTCCTGCATAGCCAAGTGTACAACCCTAACCATTCCAGACCCACCTCTTCTACCAACAGATCTACATCTCCAGTCTCAGAGAGAGATTCCTGCTTCTTAATTACACCTAAACCATGAAACAGCCACAGAGGTCATTCAGTGACATTTTACAGCCATTCCTAGCGTCTGTCAAGCTGACCCCCACATGTAGGAGCTCTCCGTTTCTTCCTGGGCTCATGCATTGATTTCCCACAAATACAGGGTCTCGTGTAGGCCAAGCTGACCTCAAACTACATACACAGCCGAAGAAAATCTTGAACTTCTGCTTCTCCTGCCTCCACCTCCAGAGTGCTGGGAATACAGAGAGGCACTACCTAGTTTGTTCAGTGCTGCGGATGAACTCAGGACTCTGTGCACAAAAGGTAAGTAATCTACCAACGGAACTACATCCCAGCCCTGGATTTTTCTCTTTCTTAATTACCTCTAACCTATGAATGTGCTCACAGAGGTTATGAGAGTATGGTTTAATCCTGAAAAAGGAATAAGGCCGCAACCTCCAGAGACGGCAGTGACAGCGCGGACAAGATTGAAAGCTCACATCTAAGCAAACAAAATGTATCTCTTCGGTTTTGTATTTTTGAATAGAGCCACTGTAAAAGACGGACTGACCAAACAGTCCACTTGGGAAGTGATCTGCTCTCCAGTACTCTATGGCAAGTGTGGAGGCCCAAAAATGTGAGCCTATTTCCACATTGTCTGAAGGTCAGAGAGTTTTAGTGTGTTCAAAGTTGTTGCTGATAGTGTGGCTATACATCCTGAACTAGGGAGTGGTTCTGTGGTCTTTTTGACATTATGATGGCCTATACAGGTAGATCCACTCCACCCTGACCAATGGTCAGGATATTCAAGCCTACTTCTGCTCCTTCTTTTGCAGTAGGAGGTTTGACCTTGGGAGTGGCTGCGTGCCCTCAGGATACTTGGTCTAGGGTGGGTTCACTGCCTAAACAACTGAAAGTTTTCCTCATGGCTTAATTGCTTGATGGCTCAAAGTATTGTAGCAAATAACTGTTCTAGCTGTCCTTTGTACCACATCAAAGCAGTCTTTTGTCTTCTTCCCCCTGTGGCATTAGGATATAAAAGTGTATAGAAAATTAAACATGGAGATTTTTCAGTTTCACTGGAACTCCTTCCCAGAACTATATCCTATGTTATCTGTTTTATTATTTTTACTTGTGTCTTCATATTCTTTACTAGCTCTTCTAATCCCCATGCCCCTACCCTGGTAAGTGGTACATGTATGTGTGTGTGCACATGCGCTATACATGCCTGTGGAAGTTTGATAACAACCCCACCTAGGATCTCTGCTCGGGGCTCTTCTCTCACTTTCTGGAACTCACCATTAGGTTGGGCTGGCACCTGCCTCTGTCTCCTAACTGGCTCACAGGTGTGTGCCACCACACCTGGCTAGAGTAGTCTTTGCCCTCAGAACAGACAAGTTAATTTCAGGTGTTTATTTAACTCCAAAACTGATACCGCCTCCCTATTTCAAAGGGGGTTTTTCACCAAGTCTCCACAGACTCTCACACTGTGGAGGACCTGAAACGTGGGCTCAGGTACAGGTCTCACTCCCACAACCCATGTGACTGAGAACAACAAGGTGACTGCACATTCGTCTTCTCATGCCTGGGACACGGGTCACCACAGTGCCTGGTTCAGTTCCCTGGGTCCTCCAGTCCTCTACAGATACTGGCAATTACTATGGCCACGCTGCTGCTTTAAAGGGATAATAAGTTCATAAAAAAGAAGTTCTACAAATAGTGACTCTACCTCCCAAGTGCCAGGATTACAGGTGTATGCCACCATACCCAGCCATTTACCTATATTCATAATCATGTTTAAAGTTTATTGCACATCAAATAGCAAATCCTCCATACAAAACGTCAACACACCACCCCAAATGAGACATTGAATTTCTATCTTCTTCAAATTTTACTGTAAAAGACACTGAGGAAATAATCATTTTTTGAGTCAGGGTCTCACTGTGTAGCCCTGGCTGGCCTTGAACTTAGAGATCTCGCCCTTGCCCCCCCCCCACCTCTGCCTCCCAAATGCTGAGATTAAGGGTGTGTGCTACCACACCTAGCCTACAGATTTAGGTTTTGATAAATCCTGAGTTGGGGCAACATCTGTACTCCTAGTATTCTGGAGGCAAAGGCAAGGAGAACCAGGTGTTCAAAGCCAGCCTGAGCTACATAGAAAGGCCAGTCTGAGCCATATGAGACCTCCCATCTCAAAAATACAAAAATAAATAAATAAAATTCTGCCTCAAGAACCATCCTCAACTTTACACCTGTCCAACTGTTCTAAAAGCGTAGCCCTCGAAATGCCACCCACAGCAACAGAGGCATCATCAGAGGACAAAACCTCAGCCTCGAGGCTGCTGCGATTGCTCAGTGGGTCAACTGATTACAGCAGAAGCATGAGGACTGGAATTATATCCCCAGCATCCATGAAAGAGCCAGGCACGGCAGTTCAAGTCAGCCCTGGAAGACGGAGGACAGGCAGATCCTAGGACTTGCTGGCCGGCCCGTCTAGCCCAATTGGTGGGCTCCAGGTTCAATAAGGGACCCTATCTTTAAAAAAAAAAAAAAAGGTGAAGAACTATTTAGGAAGATAATCAATGCCGACCTCTGGCTTCCACAGGCACATGCACAGGTTTATACACACACACACACACACACACACACACACACACCCCTCAGGAGTCATCATAAACCTAAACACATCAGGAATTTTGGTGAACTCTAGTAATGAATGATTTGGAGGCAGGCCAGAGTTGGAGACCCAGCACCCACTGCTGAGTGAGCTGGGCCATGACCCTTCAGAGAGGTCTTCTGCTTATACAACTCTCTGGCATTTTTTTCTGCTCCTTAAACACTTGCTACAGATGATGTCAGCCGTTCCTCTCTATTTTTAATCCCTCGTGATGAGGCTGCTGCTCATTCACTCAACACCTTACGCTGTCACTGGAATAGGAAGGAGCCTTTTCTCACACCCCTAATGGAAGGTGACTGCTGCCTGTGGTCCCCAGTGTAATCACAGGAACGCTCGGTGGCAAAAGTGTGTCCTCTATCGCCCGCGGCGAAAGCTGAGCTTATAACTCTCCAATCCTTCCCATAATGCACTCATCGCCCTGTATCCTTTGAAACCCATCTTCCCACGTCATAGGAAGAAAACGGCGAGCCTGAGATCAAATGCAGTTTACTGTAAATACAGATCAAAACTGCATCTCTGGGGCAAACCTCCCACAACTGACAAGAAGCAAGTCCACAGCAACGATGTGGCGCTCTCTTTTCTCTACAATATATATGAACGGAGAAAGTCCAGTTGAATGTTTTCTGGGGATCTTTCAGTGACCTCACGACAATGCATTGACTAATTACCAAAGCAGAGTGAACACAGGGACATTTCCCAAATAACTTTACTGTATGTACCTTCAACCTGTTGAGGTGGTCGTTAATTCAGAGAAGGGATTTTCATACCTCCTGTGAGGTTTCAGATGAGTTGTGAATACCAACATGTTATTAATTTCCCTTTGCTTTTTGATTAATTTCACACTTACACTGCACAAGAAAGGAGAGATTAATGATGTCTGGGAGACAAGGCTGGGTTCTTGTAAGATGCTAAATCAGCCTCAAGTGAGAGTAAATAGAGGAGCCAGATAAGGAAATGATAAAGGAATCTGCTCTGGTTGTCCAAGTTGCTGTGAAAACATTGATGCCCAGAAACCTGGAGAGCTCAAACTGAAAAGTCTGCTTACCTCTCCTCCCAACACAGAGATGAGCTGCTGGAATTCTGAAGCCTGTGTACCCAACAATTTCCCAATGACTGAAGTCATGGTTCATTTATCAGATGGTACTACAAATCTCAATGCCACAAGAGTCCTGGGACACAGTGTTCCGTCTAGTCCCATCCTGTCCTTGTCTTAACTTTCCTGTCACAATTTTATGTCACAATTCCTAGCTAAATACGTTAAAGAAACCCTCTCAAATGCACCAAAAGTTATGAAGAAAGGGAGAATACAGAGTTTTCTCAGTAACACGGATCCCAGCACGTGGGAGGTGGAGGCAAGAGAATCAAAAGTTCAAGGTCATTCTTGGCTATATAGAGAGTAGAATTCAGCCTAGGCTACTTGAGATCCTGCCAAACAACAAAACAAAACAAAAGTAAGAGAAGGAAGGAGAGAAGAACATGGGAAGGGAAGGGAAGAGAAGGAGAGAGGAGGAGTGAGGGAATGGGTGAAAGGAGGGGAGGGGAAGAGAACGGAAGAGGAGAGAGAGAGGGGAAGAGGGGAAGAAAGGGAAAGTGGAAAGGAGGAGAGGGAGAGGGGGAAAGGAAGGGGAAGAGTCCAATCTCAAGGTACATACAAGCTAATTATATTTGGGATAATAAAACACCCAGAACCTCCTATGTACCAAGATCCCAGGAGTGCAGGTCATCCAACAGAAGGCTTCTTTGAGGTACTTCTATTCGCATCAAACAGAAGACGAAGCACACTCAGAAAGCTAAAGATCATGCTAGGGGATCACCATTGTGCTTCTGTTTAAAGAAAAGCTGCTTTGCTGTTTTAAATTGAACACATCCATTCATTACAAAGACTCAGACTTACCCTGAAAAAGAAAAAGCCCAGAGCGGCCTCTAAGATCAGGTGGGGCTGCAGGTGCTGGGTGTATCTTCCTGAACAGGACTGGAGGCACCATTATGCCCCTCACCCTCACCTGGATCTGTCCTGGTCTCCAGAGTGAAACACTACACAACACACATTGTTTCCCTCTATGGCGAGTAGCTACCTAGCTACCGCAGCCTAGCTACTACTTCAGAAGGTCTAAGAGAGGCAAGGTCCTATCCTGAGAAAACGCTCCTTTCCCAGCGCCAGCTCCAAGAGTCTAAAGTCCATGCAAGACCAGTGACTGCCATACAGGCTGGCAGCTCTGCCATCACAGGAAGCTTCAGGGATCAAGTGGTCCCCAGGCTCATATGGAGTCCATCAAACTGTCTTAGATCTTCAATCAATACTGTGCACAAGGCCTGGAGAGATGACCCAGTCAGTGAAATACTTGCCGTGCAAGCAAGGACTGAGTTTGCTCCCCCAGAACCCTAGTGAAAAGTCAGGTGAGGTGGTGTGTGCCTATAATCCCGGGGCTGAGGAGGTAAAGACGGGTGGCTGTCAGTCAGGCAAGCCCCTGCCAGTGACAGGCCCTGTCTCAAATAAAACCAAGGTGAACAGTATCTGAAGGGATGATACCTGAGGCTAACCCCTGGCCTCCACATAAACGTGCACACATGTGAACATCCACCCTCCATACACACATATGACTCTCTCCTTGGAGGGGGAATGTAAATAAACCAATTTCTCCCAGAGCCTACAAAGACCATCTAAATCAAGATAAACGTTTGTTCCTTTTCTCCCTAAACATTCAGCTGGATCACCTCACTCAGATGCCTGTCTCTCCGCAAAGCTCTACAGTCAGCTGAACACCAACCCTGTCATTCTTGTTCTTGCCTTGGCCATCTCCTCCCCAGCCAATCACTACAGCTTCCTACCTGGCTGGGTGTTCTCCAGGCTCATCCCACTCCTTCTCAGGGCATTCCACAATCCCTGCCAGGCGAACCCTCAGGAGCAGGCGGGCAGGCGAGCAGAGAAACAGACAGACAGACAGACAGACAGACACACACTTCCCAATTTAAAAAGAGGTGTAGATAGCACCTGGCTGTTGAGGTCCTCCTGATTCAAGGGCTGCGTAGCTCACATCAGTGGTTCTCACAGAGTCGTTTCCCCTCCCCCCTACAATGTCAACATTATTTCCCCACCCCGCCCACTCCACCCAGTATCCTTGCCTATCTCTACATCTCTGGACCGCTTTCACCTATCACACTGGGTACGGACACTCCCCTAGGCAGATCTCGGCTCCCCAGAATCACATCTTCTACTTCTCTGTATCTTCCACAAAACTGGCCACAGATAATTGCCAATCCACTGAATCTACAGTCACTGATCATGATTTTATTTATTATTCTGACAGTAGACATTCAGATCTTTCTGGTCATTCCACTTTAATGAACATTTGGCATATGTTTAATACTTTCAGAGCTTGGTTTACTCGCCAGGGAAGTACTGGTGATATTGGTGTGTGTTCCATAGGGTGGGTGGGGATAGGGAAAGCCTCTCACAATGGTAATGGCACTCAGCAAGTGTCCCTGCACAGCCGGAATTCAATGATACTTTCAACCTCCTCCCCTTCCTATTACTAAGCCCTCTTTTCATTTCTGTTACTGCGATAAAATTTCAGAGCAAAAAAGTTTCAGAAAGAAGGTTTACGTCACAATTCCAGGTTACAGTCTGTCACTGTGGGGAAGTCACAATGGTGTGAGCTTGACCCTGCTTAGTGGCATCCACAGTAGAGAGCAGCGAGAAATGAATGCATGCACACTTAATGCTCAGCTAGCTTTCTATACTATCATACAGTTCAGGGTCCAAACCAGGGAACCATGCTAGACACCTGTTGACCAAGGTTTCTGTCCTGTCCAATTCCCACAGCCGTTCAGTCCCAAAGAAACACACAGAGGTTCTACATTAATTATAAACTGATTGGCCTATTAGCTCAGGCTTCTTCTTATCTCTTATAACTTACATTAGCCCATAATTTTTGTCTGTGTTAGTCACGTAGCTTGGTACCTTTGTTGGCGAGGCAATCACATCTTGCTTCCTCTGTAGCTGGGTCCCAACTACAGACTTAAACTTCCCTCTTCCCAGAATTCTCATTGTCCCACCTCTACTTCCTGCCTGATCACCCCACCTGTACTTCCTGCCTGGACACTGGCAAATCAGCATTTTATTTAAAATAATACAAGTGACGGGATAAAAGACCATTGTCCCACAGCACCACCCCCCTTTTTTAAACAAAAACTCTGAATCTAATATCCTTTGTTTAGCTTTTCTCCTGACAATTATCCATAACAACTTGTAACCAACATTTTAAACAAAGGAAAATATCCATAGTCCATTTTTTGGGAAAGGGTGATATGGGAGTCCCCTCTGTATGCTGTGATTGCCACTAACGAATAAAGAAACTGCTTTGGGCCTATAGCGAGGCAGAACTTAGGTAGGCAGGGAAATTTAGGCTGAATGCTGGGAGGAAGAAGGGCAGAGTCAGAGGATGCTATGGAGCTGCTGCCAGAGTCAGACATGCTGAAACTTTGCTGGTAAGCCACTTCCACGTGGCAATATACAGATTAATAGAAATGGGTTAAATTAAGATCTAAGAGTTAGCCAGTAAGGGGCTAGAGCTAATGGGCCAAGCAGTGATTTAATTAATGCAGTTTCTGTGTGATTATTTTGGATGTAAGTTAGCTGAGAGATGGGAAAGAACGAGCAGCCCCCTCCTCCAACAGGCCCCAGTGTGCTGATCCTACCCCCATCAATACAGGCAAGCAAGACAATACCCCCAGACATGCCCCAAAGCCAGCCTGATCTAGACAATCCCTGATTGAAGCTTTCTTCCCAGGTGATTGTAGGTTCTGCCAAATTGATAATTAGAAATAACCATCACACCACATAGGAACCAGAGTTTTGGCTATGGGATTTGGGGAAGAGGGTGGAGGTAGGGAGATTACTCAACCACTGAGCTGCAGGGCAGACCTGAGTCACTGACAACAAAGTGTTTGAAGAAATGAGCTGCTATCTGGCTACCTTGGCTATGATATCAGTAGACAATATTATCTGGTAGGACAGTACACGGTGTATGATACAGACTGGTGATAATGGAATTGTGAAGTCACATGTGGCATTTTCCAGACAACTTCGCCTGTAAAAGGAAAATCAGCCTCAAGAAATTAGAATCCTCTGGAAGAGCAGCAAGCACTTTTAATAGCTGAGCCATCTCTCCAAGCCCAGAATCCTTCTTCTGTTTTCCACTACCAGTAATTAAACCCAAATCTCACACACACTGCTCAAGTGTTTTGCGACTGAGCTACCCTCAGCTGTACTCACGCTTTTAAGGAGAACATGCTAATCCTTACTGCAACCACCTCACCAATCTCCAAATAGTCATATCACGCTTACTTCACACACAACATCAGAGAAATCTTTCCTACCTGGTACACTGCTATTATAGGCTGTACAAGTGGTTTTAAAAAAAATCTATGATTAAAAGAACTCCCAACAATTAAATGAGGAAATATCAAATATCAGACAGCTCACAGAAACTTGTGACTCCAGTTCCAAGAGCCAAAGTCCTCCTTCTGGCCTCCACGTCATGATGCTCATGTGCCCCACCCCTCATCCAGACGCACAAGCATATACACCAATAATAACAATTCTTAAAATCTTTTTAAAAGTTGGGTACAATTTTCTGTTAGGACAATTGTCTTAGGACCATCTGCTGAAAGCCGATTGGGTTGTCAGCTGAAACGGGAGACTGTGCCTAAGGATCACTTGCACCGGGAGGTTGAAGGCCTGCCTGGGCCGTACAGGGAGGCTCTGTCACAAAAGGGAAAAGAAGAAGGTGAGGCAAGTGAATGAGGTGGGCTGCTCCTCTAAATCCTGTCATGGCTTCAGTTCAGTTCAGTCATAGTAACAGTTAGCCACTTATATGAGAGCTAAAGTTATGGTTCAAGTGTTAATTACTGTGCCTAAGAGATCCATAAAGCAAAAACCGCCTCTAACCAGTAAGCCTTACCTAAGGACAGATACTTCCTGAAATGCTGGAGGCCGTTGCTTTTGGAAGATAACACAAACCACGTATTTTCACTCCCCTGAACACACTTGTTTGATCCAACTGTTCACCTGATCACTTGTAGGTGAGAAGTTCAGAGGCAGGAAATAGGTCAGGATGTATACTTGCCTGATTGGATGTCGGCAGGAGGAACGCAGGCAGGAAGTACGTCCGGATATATGCTCGCCCCTGGTCAGACCTGATGGGAAATACAGCAGCCTTAAGGGGTTGCCTTTATACGCCTCTGCAGAATGTGACTTGTGGGAATTTTCTGGGGCCGCCAGGAAGGACCTGGCCAGAGTCTATCATCTTGGCAAGTATTTAATGACAGCTTGCTTCAAATCTGGCTCCAAAATTGTGGTAGTTTAATATTAAGTTACCAGCTACATTCAGAGGGCTTGGGCTTCATACTTCTTCATTTAGTTCTTGAGGGTTCTTTTTAATATCTCTCCTTCTCCTTTCTTCCCTCATCCTCTCCGTGTGTGTGTGTGTGTGTGTGTGTGTGTGTGTGTGTGTGTGTATGCACATGTGCCCATTCCATGGCACATATGGAGAGCAGAGATGTTCCCTGCAAGATGCACTGTTATTACAGGCTATTTCAGTGGTTTTATTTTTTTTTTAATTTATGATTAAAGACATTCTGACAACAACAACAAAAGCCCGGAGAGTTAAGCAAGGGATTAAAAACAGGGGTTCGAAACGGATAGTCATGATTATGGATCTCTATTATCAATTGAAGGAATTCAGAATCAGCGTGGAAACACATCTCTGGGTGTGTCGATGAGGGTGTTTCCAAAGAGCTATAACTGAGGAGGGAAGGCCCATCCATCCCCTGAACTGGGGTCTTAAACGGAATAAAAAGAAGAACGTGGGCTGAGCACTAGTGTTCAGCTTCTCTGCTTCCTGACTGTGGACGCCATGTTGGACCAGCTACCTTGGATTTCTGCTGCCATGACTTCCCTACCATGATGGACCATACATCTCTCTGAACTGTGAGCCAAAGGAACCCTTGGGT